CTGCTTCCATTGAGTTAAGTGTAATGAATTGGGAGAGAGCATACGAAGTATTCAGCTTAATATGCGTATTTATAAACGAGGGCATTTTAAACTTGTCTTCAGGCGGACTTTAAACAATATCCAATTTAAATATTTAACTTGCTCTGCTGTTTATAGTTCCAGAAGCCATGGCTAATTGCTTTATACCTTAGGCAAGCTAAGGTACTGTGTCTGCAGTCTCTTTAACCTATCCCATCCTTGCCACTGCTTCAGTGGTCTGTGGCAGACCGGCTTCCCCGATCAATGAGACGCCTTCCTCCATTCCCCAATATGGGCAAAAGTGGTTTGTACTGTCATGGACAGGCATGCCTATCCGATGTTTCCCTAGCATTCTAAGAATGTTTTCCAAGTTAGCCTTCTAGATATCTGGCAAGTGTCTGATGTCTTTTAGGGAAGCCAAATGTCTTGAGCATTTTCTTCCATGTAAACTGAGGAGTGAAATATGTATCCTGAAATGTAAGTTAATATATTGAAGTGAACTCTGAGAAATGACTATTCTTTAGGTCAGATAACTGCTCTTTATGTCATAAAAGAACTAACGGATACTAAGCTAACTCACTCTTCAGGGCCTTAGCTGTAATATTGCCTACTCTTTAGCTTTTAAAAGGAGCTTTTAGAATGTGGTTTGGTTAGTGAAGAAATGCAGCTTAGTGAAGAAAAGTAGATGCCAGCCAGGTACTCCCAACAGAAAGAAATGACTAGGAAGAAACGGAGATAAGTAGCTGGCTTTCAAGTTTAACTGAGTGATGAGAAGAAGGTATTACTGGAGGAGATTGTGACAGTAAGGCTGTTACGATCATGGGTATGTCTCTTACCTGAGCCCTTAGCTTGGAGAGGGAAAGTGTTCTAAAAATGTATTTTATTTTTTTTCCCCCCTCAGGCAGGTGATCTGCAGCCATGAGCAGCAACGAGTGCTTCAAGTGTGGGCGTACTGGCCACTGGGCTCGGGAGTGCCCAACTGGGATTGGCCGTGGCCGTGGGATGAGAAGCCGTGGCAGAGGTAAGTGCCATGGTTTTCTGCTTATATGTACAGTAAGATGTCTCCAGCTGTCTGTTGTCAGTGCTATGTCAAACTGACTTCAGGTGAGCAAAAGCTGAGACGTAAATTGGTGATAAACTTTCCTGGTTCTTAAGTCTGCATAAGAATTATGCAAGGGCTCCTGAGACTAAACCTGATGTGTTAGTTCAGCTGCCAGTGTCCTTGATTAACTCTTAGGGATTACGTTAAGAATATTCTTAAGCCTTTTTTTCTCCTGTTACCCATTTCAAGCAGGCTTCCAGTTCATGTCTTCATCTCTGCCGGACATCTGTTACCGCTGTGGTGAGTCTGGCCATCTTGCCAAGGACTGTGATCTTCAGGAGGATGGTAAGTATCAATAAATATTCTATCTCTTCAATTACATGGACAGAGGTCTGTGGTTGAAGAGAAGGCTATTGTTCACTGATTGCATAATTCACTGGAAGCAGAGTAAATGTCCTTCATTAGAAGCATGCTACACCTCAGTCTACCAAGGTTTTATAGTCTTGTTTGGTATGTTTTTCTTATTGTGGAAGCCTGCTATAACTGCGGTAGAGGTGGCCACATTGCGAAGGACTGCAAGGAGCCGAAGAGGGAGAGAGAGCAGTGCTGCTACAACTGTGGCAAACCTGGCCATCTCGCTCGCGACTGTGACCATGCAGATGAGCAGAAGTGCTATTCTTGCGGAGAGTTTGGACACATTCAAAAAGACTGCACCAAAGTGAAATGCTATAGGTAAGAGCATCTACTAATACTCAAAAGTTGAGAAGCAGCTGTTAAATCTGTCTGAAAAGCTGGCTTCAAACTGTTGCTTGTGCCTGTACCTGCTACAGCGTGCTCATGAGTGCAGTATCTTTCACCCCCTCCAAGACTCCCTTGTGTGGAGGAAGGGAAAACACAGTGTATCTGAGTTACAGCCAGTTAGCTTCAAACAAGGCTAAACAGGAGAAGCATTAGAATGGGGAAAGTCTGGCAATTAAAAATAAGTAAAAATCTGTGTTTGCACTGTGGTTTTGGCATACACAGTGATCAGTGTAAGTTGATCAGTTCCTGGTTCATGCCTCGTGGAAGAACATGAGAACGCTGAAGCAGAAGAATTGAGTACAGAACAAGTCTTGCATGAAATCAAAGTAGCCAGCACAGTTGGCAGAACAGTAACTTCTCTGGGTGGTTTGGAATCAAATCTTCATCTTTTGATTCTTTCTTTTTTTGTCTGCAGGTGTGGTGAAACTGGCCATGTAGCCATCAACTGCAGCAAGACCAGTGAAGTCAACTGCTATCGCTGCGGCGAGTCAGGGCACCTTGCACGGGAATGCACAATTGAAGCTACAGCCTAATTATTTTCCTTTGTCGCCCCTCCTTTTTCTGATTGATGGTTGTATTATTTTTCTCTGAATCCTCTTCACTGGCCAAAGGTTGGCAGATAGAGGCTACTCCCAGGCCAGTGAGCTTTACTTGCCGTGTAAAAGGAGGAAAGGGGTGGAAAAATCAACTTTCTGCATTTAACTACAAAAATGTTTATGTTTAGTTTGGTAGAGGTGTTATGTATAATGCTTTGTTAAAGAACCCCCTTTCCGTGCCACTGGTGAATAGGGATTGATGAGTGGGAAGAGTTGAGTCAGACCAGCAAACCCTCTCTGGGTTACATGGAAGCGATTCTATGCAGGAAGAAAGAAATTCTGGAAGTGTCTTAAACTTCCTCATAACTTTAATTTTATTACAATGGCCTTGGATTGTCTGACCTCAGTAGCTGTTAACACCAAGTAATATCTGTATCAGGCCCTACCTAGAGCATATAGCTGAGTGGGAGTAAATAAACAAGATGCACATGCCTGTTAATGGCCATGAGAGAGAGAGAGAAATCAGGAATAAACTTAAAATAACAGTAATTCAGTCAATGAATGTTCATGTTGGAGATACAGAACGTAATGGGAAGCTTTTGAATAAATACTTCAAAGTAAATCTGAAACCCAGACATCAGTGCTCATAGCATATACAATTTGGAGCTATTCAGGAGTTGCAAATAAATGCATTTTCACAGAAATCAAGATGTTATTTTTGTATACTATATCACTTAGACAACTGAGTTTCATTTGCTTGTAATCAGTTTTTAAAGTAAGATGGTAAAAGCAATTGAAGTCCTAGAACATAGAAAATGTAATTTTAAACTATCAATAAAGCTGGAGGAGGAAGGGGAGTTTGGCTAAAGTTCCTTTTGTTTATTTTTGGTTTTCATGTACACAGTGCAAAATAACATATTAAAAAGGGGTATGTGGAGGTGTAAAAAGTTCAGTTTGGACTTCTCTTTTGTTCTATCTTCTGTTAAGTTTCCATCCTCTAGCATCAGACTGTCCATACACTGAGTATGTAGGCCTTCAAGACTATTGCTGATCTGCCCCTGGTGTATGTGAATGGTTTGTTCTCATGGGGGGCTTGCTACATATCTTAGCTGATGCTGATAAAGCACTTCTTCCACTCTGAAGTTGTCAAAGGCACATAACTTGTTGGATGTACAGCACATTTCAAATACAACCTGGAGTAGTTTATTAATGTGCTAGCGGTATTTCAGCCTTCAGCAGTGTGGGCCTTGATGCCCTTGTAGTGAGGGGCCCAAAACTGAAAACAACACTCCACCTATGAGCAGGCCTCACCAGGGCAGAGCACAGGGGGACAATCACCTCCCTGTTCTGCTGGCTGCACTACTCCTGACACAAGCCAGGATGCCGTTGGCCTTGGCCACCTGGGTATGCTGCTGGCTCATGTTCAGGTGAGCATCAATCAGCAACCCCAGGTCCTTTGCACAGATTTAAAACCACTGCCCTGAGCCTGTAGGTGCTGCATGGGGTTGTTGTGGCCAAAGTGCAGGACCTCCCACCTGAGTAGCAAACTCAGGCTGAAAATTTGAACGCCTGTAGAAGAAGTCTGAGCTGCATTCCAGGGAGAAAACATTTTTAATAAAAGTACTAAGCACTATGTAAACAGCCCGGATCACTTGACTGACAACCTGAGTGGGATTTTAGAAAGGCTGCGCTGATAATGCTGCTGAGAGGGATGGAAGGAAGCTGGTGAAAGCTACTTGGAAGCATGTAAAATGAATCCTCTTGCTACTTGAAGCAGTACAAAATCGAAGTACTTGCTTCTGACAAATGCAGAGGGCAGTTCTGGAGAGTGCAAAGCCCAAATGACGTGGTGAGAGCTGCTGCAGGCTGCTCATGCCTTGGGCTGCCCTCAGCCCTGCTGTGTGCTGAGCAAAGCCTGTCCTCTTGTGGAACTGAGGTGTGGGGAAGGTGTTCTGGCCTGACTGTTTTCATTTTACTTCTAATTGCTGCTATAAAGAACATGAGTGCACTTTGAGCCTCAGCCTGCCCAAACCCTTATAAATTCCCTGGTTGGAGCAGGCAGGCTGCCTTGGGGTCGCCTGAGCTGCGCACAGTGCTCGTTCGGTGACTGCATCACACACCTACAGCCACTGAACTTTGGGGTTTTATTACAAAGGCCTGAAAGCCTTTGGCACTTGGCCTGTAGCTTTGTATGTGTATGTACATAAACACAGGTGTGTCTGTGTGTGTGAGGGCTGCCAGTGCTTCCCGTGCAATTCGGTCACTTGTGTCTTGCAGCTGCGGCTTCTTTAGCACTCAGCTGCTTAAATCTCGATTTAACTAAGCCTTAACGTACTCCCAGTTTTGAGGTGGAGCAAAGCAACACGGCAATCGCGCTGTTTTTAAACGCGCAATGTGACGCCGGCAGGCCCTGGGCCTGCAGCGCCGCGCTCCCTCAGCGCCTCACACTGGGTGGGGCGGGCAGGGGGGGGGGGGGGGGGCGCAGCCCGTGGCGCGCAGGCGCAGCGCGGCAGAGCCCGGGGCCGCGCGGCCCCGCCCGGCCCGCTGAGGCTTCCGCTTCCGGGCGGGCAGCGGCTGCTTCCGGAGCGGAGCGGAGCGGGGGAGCGGGAGGCGGGAGGGCGGCAGCGGCGCCATGGTGAGCGCGGGGCCCCGGCCCCTTCCCCTCCCCGCTCCCCGGGGCGCCGCCGCCCCTCACTCACCTCTTTTCTCTTTTTTTTCTCTCTTTCAGGCTCGCAACGCGGAGAAGGCCATGTGAGTGCAGCGCGCCGGCCGGCCGGGCCGCAGCTCCCTCGGCGCCCGGGGCGGGCCGCTCGCTGAGGGGACGGCCTGAAGGGGGCTGCGGGGCTGGGCAGGGGCTGGGTGCCGGGGGTGTGGTGATAGGACCAAGGGAGACGCTCTGAAACCCAAAGGGGGTCCAGTGCAGAAGCTGCAGCAGGGGCTGGATAATGAACGTGGAGTTTGTGCTGACAGTTCACTGGTTTGGGGCAGTTTCCATGTTTGGCACAGAGCTGACAGGTGTCTGGCAGCGTGGCGTTAGGTATCATTTTTGCATGGGAGAGCCTTGAGCAAAATCAGTCTTTAAATCTTAATTCTCCTATTGTCTTTCCAAAGTACCTTCTCAAGAAGGTTTTCAGACCGTGCATTTAAAACTACTGAATTAGAAGCTCATTAATGTATTTGCTTTGCATTCATTTTACTAAAATATTTGTTGAGTTTTAATAGGAATTCAAAGAGAGACTGAATGGACTACAGCTGTGTAGTACCTGCTGAGGTGCTTTCATACAGTGATACAAGCCAGTGCCTGCTGAATTGGATGGTGCAGCATTTCATTCTGGAAATGCCTCTCTGCTCCTTAACAGCAGATGGAGCCCTTGATAATTGTCTTAGATGCAGAGTACAGATATGTAGCTAAAGAGAAGGTGTTAAGCGCTTTCTCGGTTGTTTTGTGCTTTTTAACATAACTATCAAATGTCTCGTAAATAAATAAAACCATGTATTAAAAAAATGGGGTCTGTATAGACTCAGCTTAGTTGTAAGAGACTTGGAATATTTTAGACATTTTAGTAAGGTTGATTGCAAGCTGCTGCCCTCAATTAAGTCTTTTTTTTTTGCTTTTTGATGCTAAGATAAGTACACTTTAAGCTTGTGTTTATAATTTGTTGTCATCCTTTTGCTGTTAATATCTAACACATTGGAATATGTTAAATAGAAAAATTAATTAGCTGCTTGCCAGGGTTTGTCTAAGAAATTAACCGCTGAGGAGTTGGTAGTCAGAAGAGCTGGTCAATGAATGTGTTTTGTTTTCTATAGAATGGAAAAAACATTAACTTTCTTAACGTTCATTAAGTCTGTAATATATATATATAAAAAAAATAAACAGAACTTATTACTGTTGGTGTGTAGATGTATAGAAGTAAATTTGTTTCCTTTTTTTTTTTCAGGACGGCCTTGGCGAGGTTTCGTCAAGCTCAGCTTGAGGAAGGAAAAGTTAAGGTATGATGTAAAAAACTAAAGCTTTGTTAGCTCTGATGAAGGGTGGAATGCAAGCCATGTACAGACCTGTGTAACGGTTTTCAGAAAGACCATGCACTGCATTCAGGAATCGTATGGGAGCTTGGCATTAGTCATCTGGAAAGCAGTTAAAGTAGGGACTGCATTTCACAATGACACAAAAGAGAAATGGTAAATAGAATTTTCTAAATAACTCCTTAAAATACTGGTAAATAATAATTGCTTAATGTAGTGTTCTAACAAAGTAATAACTGTGGAACAGAGGGTCTTCAGGATCCTTCTGAACTCAAGGCTTACACATGACAGCAGTGGCATGTTATTAAACCAACACATTGTCTGCATCTGATCATAATTCTCTTGGCTCTTATGGGGCTTTTGTGGGGGTGGGGGGGCTGGGGGCTGGAATTGGCATCAGATTTACAAAGGTGGTAAGCCCATTTTAGACATTAAAAAATATAAGCATATTGTAATGCAAGAAGTAGCAGCCCTAAACCCACGTAGAACCTTAGTGAAAGATTTTCAACTCTGGATGTTTCGGTATGTTTTTCACTGAATCATAACTCACATTGCAAGAATATTTATGTAGGGATCAGAGTGTTCTTTTTGAATAAAGTGGGATTCTGTAGTTTACAGTATTCTGTGGTAGTTTAATTTGGCGGGTCTGTAAGTAGTCATTTTTATCCACTCATTAAAAGTTGGTGGGAGTAGAAGGTACTGGAGGCTGGTAGCGTAGTTTTAGGATTAGTCAAGCAACAAAGTTTGTGTGAAATGCTGTGACCATATTGATGCTAGATTGTGTGTTTTTTTTTTTTTTTGTCCAACAGGAGCGAAGACCTTTCCTTGCATCAGAGTGTAATGAATTGCCTAAAGCTGAGAAATGGAGGCGACAGGTAATGTGAATAGATCTTTATAACTCTGTAGCAGGTTGAACTTCTGCAAGCAGGCTATCTAAAACAGGCACACTAAATTTTTCAGACTTCTTCAGTATACTGACAGTTGACTGTGGTTTAATTTAGACAGGAATATTGTACAGTTCACCACACATGTTCAGTGACGGTACAACCACATTGCAATGCCCAGGGCCATGTCCAGTTGGGTTTTGAGTATCTCGTGGGATTGGGATTCCACTTCTGTGGGTACCATAGGTATGGGTACCAGTGTTTGACAGCCCTTTTAATGAACTTTTTTTTTTTTTTTCCTGTGGATGTACTCAGAATTTCCCTGGTCAATGTGAACTTGTCACTGCTTGTCCTATTGTCACGCACGTCTCCAACAGCCTGCCTGTGTTTTCTCTATACTCTCCAGAAGACAGCAGTAGGGTGTTCCCCCTTCATCTTCTCTTTTAGGGTTGACCAACCCATCTCTCTCTCTCAGCCTTTTCTTGCGTGTTGTGTGCTCCAGCCCTCACCATGTGGATGTGTTGCTCCAGGTGTGATCTCACAAGTGGCAAATAGAGGGGGAAAATCATTACACGTGCTGTCCATGTTCTTGCTAACCAAGTGCAGTGTGAGGGTAGCCTGTGCTGCAGTGTTGTACCATTGACTCCTCTTGAGCTTTTTGTTCAACTTATTCTTCAGAAGCTGCTTTCAGGTCATTCAGCAGCTGGCCTGGACTGTTAAATGGGCTTATTCTCGCCCAGATGCAGGCTCGGCCTTTTTTCTTTGAGGAACTTGTGGAACTCTGTAGACCCATTCTCTGACTTATCCAAGTCCCTCAGCAGCCTTTGCTCGCCCCATCTGGTCTCATTGTGACCTTTCCAAGAGTGCATCCAGGCTGTTAGAAACTTTAAATGATGCTGACCCTGGAGGGGTGTCAATAGTAATTATCTGCTAGCTGAACTTCGTCCGGTGTGTCACAACCTTTTGACTCTGGCTTGTCCAGCCAGTGTTGGTGTTGAAATGGCACTGAAAGGCTTGCTAAAGCAAAGGTAAACAGCATTCACTGAGCCTGCCAGTTCATCATAGGGGCTGGCCTGTCGGACGTTCCTCTCTTCCCCTCTTGCCTGAAAAGTCAGAGGTGAAGCTATTGGATATACTTATTAGGAATTTGTTTATGATAACTGATGTAAAATAATTGCATGTATTTTAAGCCTCCGAGGTACTATGTTAGTCCAAATAAAATCTATGTTGATACTTGAATTTGGTAGTCTCAGATCCACTTTCTGGATCAAAAAGACAACTTCAAGAAGGACCTTCCTGGGTTTTCTAGTTGGTTGTGGGTGGGCGGTGTCCTTTTGTTTTTTATGGAGAAATTCACTTCTATGTTCTTATTTAACTAGATCATTGGTGAAATTTCCAAGAAAGTGGCACAGATTCAAAATGGTAAGATTTGTCTAATTAAATTTTATCTGTTTGAAACTCTGGTCCTAACCAGGAAATCACAGTATTCCATGTGAGCAATACGCCTCTAGTAAGTTGTTTAATTTCTTGTTTCTTTTCCCTTTAACAGCTGGATTGGGCGAGTTCAGAATTCGGGACCTGAACGATGAAATAAACAAACTTCTGAGGGAAAAAGGACACTGGGAAGTCAGAATAAGGGAGCTAGGAGGTCCTGATTATGCTGTAAGTGCAGATTATTTTGCACTGCATGGTGGTTCTGCTTACAACTGAAATGAATAGTGAGAAAAATCTGTGCAACGTTTAGCTATTATTTGTCCAGTGTTTATTAGAGAGGAACCTTATTTAATCCCTAAATATTTCTTCTAATGTGATCTAACATTTGTTTCCATGATGAGCAAATTTGACTTATCATTTGGAGTGCTGGCTTGAGGGGGTCTTACCTTCCTGTTAAAAGTATACAGCAGTGTTCTGGTTTTATCCATCGGTAAGCTTTTATTTGATTCCCTGCCTTATCAGCCTGTAGAAAGGTTCTACTTGGGTCATCTAGTTACTGCTGAAAATGAAAGGAGACTAGCTCTCATTTGCCAAAACATCAAAAGTGTGTTTATTGCCAGATTTAGTAGTGCTTATTTACAGGATACCTCAACATGATAGTACAGGCGATAAGAAGGCGTTAGATACTCTGTCAAAGTGAATCAGGTGTGGGTACGTTTTCATTGTTCTTTTAACTGTGATTTCTAGTAAAAGTAGAGGCTATATAAAGATGAGCTATGAGGGCATTTTACTTGTACGGTTGTTTGAACTGATACAGATTATCTCCTTTCTCAATTCTTTAACCTATTAAAATGTTTTTTTTTTATTAAGGAATAAAACATAAAGCAACTAACTGTTTATTTTTCAGAGGATTGGACCAAAAATGTTAGATCATGAAGGGAAAGAAGTTCCAGGAAACAGAGGTTACAAATACTTTGGAGCTGCAAAGGATTTACCAGGAGTTAGAGAGCTTTTTGAAAAGGAGCGTAAGTAAATAACTCTTCCTAGATACAAATCTGCATAGTAGTATTTTTTTGAGATACGAGACAGTAAATTTTACTAGACTCTTTACTATAGTACGTAGAGAATCCTAGTAACTACATATCCTGGCCTGTGTCTTAGATCAGCTACATGAAGCACTGAACTCAAAAATGAATTAAATGCTATTTCTTTGGACAAAGAGCACCTTTGACTCTTTACAGTTTAATAAAAGAGGTGTAGAAAAGATGAACTGTTTTCTACTGTGAGTTCAAAATAGTAAGCTAATAATCTGTAGAAACCTTCCAGCATAGCAGGTTAACTTTAATGGTAAGCTATAGGAATTAATACTCTGAGTTCAGAATTAAAAAAATAAATAAAAAATTGAACATAATTTTAGATGCAGGAATCAGCTGTCATAATAGGAAAATCTAGCTGTAAGTAGATAAAACTGTGTATTGAATTGTCATAGAATGAGAATTACTTGAACTTGAAAATGAGGCAAGCCTGCTGAATCAGCTCTGTCTTGTTTGCTGTCTCAGGAATTATGGGAGGTACTACCTGATCTGCAGGAGCCTGGGCCAGTTTTCTAGTTTCTTTCATATAGTCTTGCTCAATACTGGGACCCCAGTACATGGAGAAAAATGCATGACAGAACGTAGAGTTGCTAGATGGTGGCAGCTATGTGATAGGAAATATCAGGGTTGTGCAGGCCAGAGTAAAATACCAGTACTGATACTGCCAACAGTTCAGATCATCCAGTGATAATTAGATTATTGTGGTAGTTATAGTTGCTGCAAAGTTGGTGGGGGTCAGGAATACACTGCAAGCTATCAAGGTTGACTTTTTGAATGACAGACATGTATTTTTCAAGCCCTTCCGCCACCCCGAAAAACTCGAGCTGAGCTTATGAAATCCATTGATGCTGAATACTATGGCTACAGAGATGAAGATGACGGTATTCTGGAGCCACTGGAACAAGAACACGAAAAGAAAGGTATGCAAGATTCAAAAACCTCTGTGAGTAGTCATCTAGTTTTTCTTAGATGTGTAGACATCAGAATGTCCTGGTAACCTTTAATGTAGAGAGAAGCCACTCTACCTCTTTTTGAAGTAATAACGAAAATGTTTGCTTTTATGTGTGTACTACTTCATGGCTGTGTTTTCTAGAAAAATCTCATTCTGTATCTAGCACCCCTTTCTTGGAGAGCCTTAATTCAACTGGAGACCCACAGTTCCAGAATAGGCAGTAAAAAAAAAAAAAAGTTCAGAGTTATTACTTCTCATGTCCCATACTGTCAGTCAAGACCCAACCACCTTTTGAATGACATGCACTTTTTCCCCTATAGTGTTCTGTAACAAAGCAACAGTCTTGCCTGGTTTACTTGGGAAGACAGAAGGACCAAGGAAGTCTTTCTCCACTTCCAGCTTGCACACATTCCTGTCTTTTCTTTGAAATACTCCACTTTTGCCCAGACCCAGCACATGTGATAGCATCTGGAAATATTAGTGATGAGCTTCTCTGCCTTGAAGGAGAAGAGAGTAGTTACTACCAGAGTAGTTATTTTGTATTTAATTGCTGGTGTGTTTTTTCTCCCCAGTGGCATTTGTCTATAACCCTTTCCCCTAGATACAGTGGCTGCTAGGAGCTTGTCAGATGAATGGCCTTCTGAACAGTAGCTGCCTTTGATTTGGTTTAAATCTCAAGTTCAGGTGAACTGATGCTCCCTTGATACTCTGTTGAAGAGAAAACGGAGTTCCTCTTCAGGCTATTAAAATTAATTTTAATATCTTATCCCCAAGTTTCTTGTGCGGGCATGAGAAGTTCTACTCCAATGTACACATCCTTTTCTCTGTATAGAAATGGTTTCATATTTTTGATCATCTTTGTCACTCTTCTCATAAACCTTTTCCAATTATGCTGTTCCTTGAAACATGGAGTGGAGGTGATCAGAGCTACACATAGCATTTAAGATTCAAGTCCACCACGAACTCTTTCTTTACGGTGACAATTACATTTTACCAGTGATTGTCACTGTCCACTCTAAGTAGTTCCTAACAGTCTGTCTGGATTTGGCTGCATGTTGAATTATGTTTTGTAGGTGATTCAGTGTCTTTCTGAACATTAAATTAGATCAAGCAGGAGAGATGATGAACTCTGAAATTATTATTTTTTCCCTGGATAACTTGTGCATAGTTGGCACATAGGTACTTAAATCACATTTGTGTAAAGCATTTCTGGAGGGTGGAGTGAGGGGCACTTCAGAGTTGTCTTTCATCTTTACAACTGTTAGTGGTTTCGTATTGTTAATAAGTAAAAGTCCCCTTTGAAACGAACACTTTAGCAGTAGATTATACTTATTTATATCTGTCACCTTATCCTCTAGCTTTGTTCCTACTGACTTGCCCAGAGAAGACATCAGAATTATGAGTTGAGTTCTTTGAACCCTCTGTAAAATCCAGCACTGTTTCTGCCATCTGGTATTTGTGTAGTTTTAAGCAAGAAACCATGCACCTTCGAGAGCTTAGCTGTTCTGTAAATAGTTGTTTTAGCATTTCTGGTGAACACTCATTGATCCTGGCAATTCGTTACTATTTGCTTTGTATGTTTGTTTTATAATACCTTCTATTGATGCTTCAACTGGAGGCAGATCCTCATTGCTCCATACAAAACAGTCCTGGCAGGTTCCTCCACAAAACACAGCAGATCATTTTTTTTCTTGAATAGTTATGCCATTTCCTAGTGCTCCTTTTTGTATATGACTATCTCTTCAGAATTAGGAAAAAAAGTTTAAACGAGACCGCAGAGTTAAGTAGGTTGAGCTTCTAACGTTTTTAATACCTAGTGGCTCTTGATACGGTCATCTGCTTGTTACACTTACCCTTCCTCAATGATGAGATCTTCACACTATTGTGGCGTCTTAGAGCCTCATGACTTACTGGCTAGGTTACAGGACAGGGAGGAAGGAGGAAAAAAAGGACATGCTGCGTTTACCTGTTTCCTGCAGTGTGGCTTGGAGCTTTAACCCAGGTGAGCAGTAGCTGGGACAGACAGTCGCTACCATAGGAAGGGAAGTTGTGTGCATTGCCAGAAAGGTGTCTCGCTCAGTGTTTGTCTCACACATCCTGCTAACTGCAGGCAGGAGAGGTAGCCTATTTGCACTCATATGGTTGCTGAAGAAGATGACCAGCTTTGGTGATTGTGCTACTTGAAATAATAAGGGTAGAGGTAGAGATGCTAGCAGAACCAATACATGGAAATAAAGCAAATGGGTCAGGGGGAAATGCATAAAAGAGCCTTGGTTTGATTAATGTGGCCAGCGTAACCCTGAATTTGTCTTTCAGTGTGCATTGCAAGGAGTGTCTTTTTTTTTTTTTCCTAGTATCGTTAGTACAAGATATCTAGGGTTCCCTTTGGGTCACTTGTTATCTAGGTTCTTGTGACTTTTACCATGTGATCAGAAGAGTTAAATTGTTGTAAAAAAGTATTGAAAAAAAACTTAATTTGTGTAACTTTTATGTTACACAAAACACAGTGATGTGCCGCTGGTTAGATCTTGCTTTCTTAGGGAGACCATTTTAATGTTCACTTTGGGAGCCAAGGGGAATGACTGTTGAATTGTATAGTTGTAGGCATTTCTACTGCATTAGTTTTGCACTTTGCTGCAATTTTTAGGCACTTAGGTTGTCACTGATGAAGCTTCTTAAAACTTGTGTCAGAGCTCTTAGTAGCTCTCAGTTGCACAATGAAGATAGGACAGCCTAAACAGTCCTAGCTAGCAGGTAGTTACAGAATTGGGAGCATGCTACAAAATAAGCAAGAAACGCACTCTGAGATGAAAAGTACTTGTGTGGGTGGTCATTCTGTGGAGTGTAGTCATATTTAATGAACTACATGTACATGGCGACCAGGATTCCTGTAGCTGCTGACATGCTAGAAAGCTGAAGTCACCTATCCTGGTCACGTGGCTCCCTGTTTCTGCATTAACAGGGTCACTTGGTGTTTATTCATGACACTCAGAATCTAAAATGTACCCCAGTGAGTACAGTGACAGTGTGCTGCTTACTAACATGGGATTTTGCACAGACAGCATTGACATCAAAGTTCTACAGTAAGTGCATATTACAGATGTAGAGGATTTAACTGAGAAGTTTAAGGCTTTGGAAATTGGCGACAAATCGAAGGAACTCTAGCTTCCATTGTTGCAGGACTGCTGTTGAGGAAATTGGGGCTACTGCTGGACCATGCTGCTTTAAGTGCTCTCACATACACTTGCTCTTTTCCTTTGCTGAACAGTTATAGCAGAAGCAGTGGAAAAATGGAAAATGGAGAGAGAGGCACGACTTGCAAGAGGTGATGAGGAGGAGGAGGAGGAAGAAAATATCTATGCTGTTTAATGAAGATGAGGTATGTAATGGTTAAGGTGATGTTACATTTCATGTGTCATCTGTGCTGCCTTACGGAAGAAGGGAGATTTTGCTGAGAACCTCTCTGCTACTGAGTTCTGCACTTCTTTCTGCCTAAATTCCTATTCAGTTGTCCCTGTTTAGTTTTAAAAAATATATATTAGTAGATAAGTATGTTTGGTCTGAGTTTACAAAATGATGAAAGCTGGCAGATAGGAAAGGCGTTTTGCTAGAGAGAAACAACTAACGGTTAGCTGAGACCTTGTGATTAACTGTCATTGCCTGGACTGCTGGGACTTGTACAGTTGTGTGTTACCAGCGCTGCTGAGTCACACTTCTAAGTATGATCTTACCTCAGTAATAGAATGGTAGAATCATTTAGGTTGGAAAAGACCTCTGAGATAAGTCCAGCCCTTAACCTAGCACTGCCAAGGCTACCACAAAACCATGTCTCCGAGCACCACATCTACACATCTTTCAAATACCTCCAGGGCTGGTGACTCAGCCACTTCCCTGGGCAGCCTGTTCCAGTGCCTCGGCTCTGTCAGTGAAGCAAGTTTTCCTAATATCCACCATGAACCTCCCCTGGCACAATTTGTAATAATACAAATATGATTTTTTTTTTGTGTAGTAAATTTCAGGCCATCAATTTATAGTAAAGCTATTTAATGTTCAGGGGTTTGTTCACAGTTCAATTTTGATACAAGGTTTTGCTGATGCTGCAGTCATCACTGGTACTTGCTGCTTTCTTCTTCCTGCACCCAGAGGCAGTAAGGGAAATGGAGGATATTCCCAGTGTGCTCTGAGATCTGTAAAAGGGATACTGAAAGCCACTTCTTATTTCTCAGTCCATACCTAACAGGTTTTATTACTAGAATGAAAAGGAGGTAGTCCGTAAGTTAAAACTGGTTATTGCTTCTGTATCTTTGTATTATTTTGTGATTCATAAGCCCATTTCTTAGGCATGAGAAAGATGCAGCATAGAGCTATACAGGGAAATGGTGCATATATTTTATATTTTTTAAGGCGCTTGCTTTCTTTTTGATTGGCTAGCTCCTCTTGTTTATAGCTTTGCTATTGCAGCCAGAGTTACATAGGAAAGTAGAGGTTGTGGCCTTATGTTCATATTATTTCCACAACAGAGGAAAAGCCATGTGAAGAAAAGCAACAATTCTGAAAATGTCAAAGACCGTAGGATCTGAATGTAATGCTTGTCATATTCTGTTGTTGTTTGGTCCTTTTCAGCTACTTCCTGCATTTTTGTATCCTCATTTATTTTCTCACTGGTTCCTTCTGGCAGATTTGTGTTTGACTCCTTCAGAAAGTAAACTTGATGTCATTTGATTTTTGTTTTTTTTTTTTTCTTTAGTCTGATGAGGAAGGTGGCAAGGAAAAAGATGGTGAAGAAGGCCAACAGAAATTTATTGCACATGTCCCAGTGCCAACTCAGCAGGAGGTAAGACATCAGGAAACTGAATTGCAGACACGTGCTCTTGCTATTGCAAGATATATAATTTGTTCCTTCAGTGATTTTACCCTGTGACTGTTTAATCCTCTTGCAAATGCTGTGGAACTGCCCACAACTATGGTACCATTGCTATACCCCTCTTCATCTGAGAATTTCCTAAACCTTGATAAGTATTGCATAACTTGGAATATGTTGTGGTGTTAGCACAGAATCACAGAATTCTGGGGGCCCCAGATCTGGATGCAGTGCTCCAGCTGGGTCTCATGAGAGCTGAAGAGGGGGGAGAATCACCTCCCTTGACCTGCCAGCTACCTTTCTTCTGATGCAGGCCAGGATATGTCTGGCTTTCTGGGTTACAAGCACACTTTTCTAGATTATGTTCTTTTTCTTTTTTTTTTTTTTTTTTGTCCACCGGTACCCCAAGTCCTTCCCCACAGGGCTACTCAATCCATTCTCCGCCCACTTCATATTTGTGCTTAGGATTGCCCCGACCCAGATGCAGGACCTCGTGCTTGGCCTTGTTGAATTTCATGACGTTTGTATGGGCCCACCTCTCAAGCCTGTCAAGGGCCCTTGTTGGTATTCCTTCCCTCTCTTCCACTCATTTTATATCAGTATAAGCCTCTTAACTTTCACTGTTCATTTCTTGTGCTTCCTTCTGTTTTGCTAGCTGGCTGTTCTGAGTTTCAGTGTCTCAACTAAGCTGAAGGTCTTATTTTTATACTTCCAGATTGAGGAAGCTCTTGTACGGCGAAAAAGATGGAGCTTCTTCAGAAGTATGCTAGTGAAACTCTCATGGCACAGAGTGAAGAAGCAAAAAGACTTTTAGGATTATAATGCTGCATAAGTACGTCCTGGTTTTATATAATCCATCCTAAAGCACCAGTTTGTATTCTGACAGCAGTCACTTTTAGCCCTGAAAGTCCCTGTGAATGTTAAGAGTAAATTGTGATCATGTTAGTGTGCTCTACAAAAGGAAAAACACTCTTTTGGTCAATCTGCTAAGATGACTTGCACTTGGGTGCTGTGAAAGATCAAGCCTAGATTAGCATGGTTTCTACATCTCCAGTAACAGTCTTCAGTCATTTCACTTTGCGAAACACTGTGCGGCAGCACATCTTACAGATAAACCAGCAAACCAAATGACTACTTACATTGCTAGAGAAATCTAACTGATGTTACTGCCGGTCTGTCTCTGTATCCATACTGTATGTGAACATATTTCTCATGTTAAGTTTATCTGACCTGAGTACAGAAGTAACTTACTCTGTTGTGCCTGGTTAGTTTACCAGAATAGCTCAGAACCTGCTTAGAGAGAGCTTGATGGCAGATCCTGAATGATTTTGAAGTTGATTTACTTTTTATATAACACATGCAGTATTGTCCAAAAGCTGTTACTGTTTTTATGGTTTGGAGCCGTGTGTATGAACTGCTCGAATGCTGGATATTCTAGCAGCTACTGTAAATACTTTCATCTTTGCAATACCTTGTTCAATATTTTTATTAAATTTTATACACACTAATGTCTTGTTTCATTCTAGTTCAAAGGATTGTGCTCTTTACCCTAATCCTAGTCAAAGAATAGGGTCATGAACAGTCATCCACACAAGGATTTGAAGTTGGGCATCCCCTCCTGCTCACCGCTTATGTGAAAGAGGCAGATCACAGCAGAGGGCTTGTTTAGGGTCTGAGTGAGTAAGGTTGTTACACAAGTCTGAGTGAAACTTTAAATTGGACTTCTGTAGCCATGGGGTAGAAGTGCTATCTAAGGAATACACTATAAACAACTAACCACATCAGAGACTACAGAGTTTCTAGATGCTTTTAATATTCAGCTCTATATTATAATGTAACAGCATACTAGTCTGTTTCTGACTCAATTTTGTGTTCTCTGAGTTGCAAGCATCTTTCTGAAGCTGTTTTACTCTTTGCTGCTGTCTCAGAAGTGTTTTCTAGTCTTGCTTTTAGAAAAGCTAATGTACTTTATCCACAAGTTATTTGTATTGCTGTAAAAGATAACACTTTCCTGGAGTTCCTTCCCTGAAATGCCTGACCACCAAGAATGGAAGAACAGGCTTCTTTCATGTTGGAGGCTTATGGACAGGCAGGACTGGATCAGAGTAGTGTACTTCACCTATGGAAGACATTGGTATGGGAAAGCTAAGGGCTTTGTTGCCTGGCACTCAGCCACTGAGTTCCTGGAGCTTAATAAATTGGTAGTCTGGCTGTTAAGTCCTTATCAAGCTTCAGGAGCGTTAGTCACCAAACCATAGTATGACAAAAAGGCAAAAATAAATGAACTAGAGCTGCCAAATGGCCTTGCCAAAAAGGCATTTAAAGTTTGGTTGTAAACAGCCCCATGCCAACCATGCTTCTATTAGACTGTTCTTTTTTCCCTTCCCTTCCCTTCCCTTCCCTTCCCTTCCTTCCCTTCCCTTCCCTTCCCTTCCCTTCCCTTCCCTTCCTTCCCTTCCTTCCCTTCCCTTCCCTTCCCTTCCCTTCCCTGTGCTGATTTCCTAAGCTATACGCTGCAGCGTATAGATAGTAATTGCATTCGTGTTCAAGAAAGTTTGTAACAGTCCTGAGTAAGACCAATATAATAAATAGAGAAGTCTTGAAGGCAAATGCTGATCTCCACTGACCAAGACGAAGTGAATATACGTATAAAAATGCAGTCTGGAACTGTGCAATGCAAGATGGCAGCTGGTTGAACCCTCTGTGCCGAATAGGGTGCAGCTCTGAATGCCAAGTGGAATGTTCTCTTCAGCCATGTCTGAGCCAACAAATTGCAGAATCATTGTTACTTGGCAGTGACCTACAGTAAAATACCTATATTTTGTTTGCTTTACAGGCTGTTACAGGGCTGGTGAAGTTAGGGCTGGGACAGTTTTGTAGCCAAAGCCATGAAACTGAACTTGTAGGTTGTCCTACGGAATGCAACAGTGTCGTACACCCTCATTAACTCTTACTTTGGGTGTGCAGCTGTAGACGTGGATTTTATCAGGCCTGTAACTCCACCATTGGTATAATACTTCAGCGCTGAGCATGTCCAGGTGACAATAATCATTTTACAATGCTGTTGTTCCTTTCCACTTCAGAGTTCTGTGCTCTGCATGGTCTTGGTTTGGGATTTGAGGGAATAACTTCCTCAACGTTTTAACAGTTCTGTTCTCTGCATCATTTTCTGTGTGCTTTTCTGATCTGGAAATGCACGCAGCTTTGTTTCATTTAATGCCAACCCTGTGAGTAGTGCAGACAGGAGACACCGTCCCTACTCTGTCGTGGTAAGTGCAGCGCAGTCACTGGAGGATCGGGATCTCCCTGGAGCGTTGGGAGGGAGGATGAGGAAATCGGTGGATTTATTCCATATGAGGATGAGGAAGATAGGGAGAGAGCTTTGTGGCGTGCCCGTTAACTAATGGTATGTTGTGTTTGGTTCCTCGCCTCAGGAGGGGGAGAGTGCTGCGATGCCGCTCCAGCTCCCAAAGGGGAGCTGTGCACCTCGCACAGGCCGGGGGGGCGCCGGGCTCCGCTCCTTCGCCTCCCGCCGGCTGAACCCGGGCCCTTTACCGGGGCGGGGCTCCCCGGGGCCTCGGCACCGCCCGCCCGGGGCGGAGAAGCCGGCGGGGCGGGGATCAGGGCCGGCGGCTCGGGGCCGTGCCCGGGGCTGCCGCCATGCGCCGGGGGCTGCCCGCGCTCCGCGGCCTCCTCGGGGGCGGCTCCGCGGGGCGGCCGCTCCGGCTCCCGGCGCACAGCGGGCCCGAGCCGCCGGCTGAGGGCAGCGGGGGCGGCCAGGTGAGAGGGGGCCGGGGCCGGGCGGGACCGGGAAGCGGCCGCCGCGGGCCCGGGGGGGTCCCGCGGGGCTGGGCCTGAGGGAGGCGGCGCCCGCCCGGTCGGAGCGGGGCGTGAGGCGCGAGGGTGCCGCTGCTGCCCGCTGGGAACCCGCTGGGAACCCGCTGCTCAGCTCCTCTCCCTTGGTGCTCGGAGAGCTAAACTTGACGCTGCTATGCCTTTAAAATATTGACCTTACTAAACTGGGCTTTGCATTGGAATACACTCCCACTCACGGGTTTTGAAAAGGCAGTTTGTGGCTTCTAGAGGAGACAGCAGCGAGATCTTCTCAAGGAGAGTGTAGCTGCCTCTCCTGTCTCTCACGGTGATGGCAGTGTCCATTTCTGCTGTACCAGCTGCTAAAGATGTACCCAGTGAATAATTGATGAGGGACAAAGTGCTGCTTTGATGGGCAAAATGCCCTTCTCAGTGCGCGCGGGCTGGATTTCTGTCAGTACGTCCCTTCCAATAGTATTGTATCACATAAGTGTGCCTACAGGGCGTATTAGAAAGGGCAAAATGGAAGATCCTTTCCTTCCCTGTGCAAGTGTGTCTGTTAACTGCAGTGTAGATGTTGCATATTTCATCAAATACGTACACATATGGACATAACTAATACACTCTTTCTTTTTCAATTTCTTCTTGCAGCTCAACGTTCTGCCGTCCTTTGGGTTTCTTTTTGACATTGATGGTGTACTAGTACGAGGAAAGACTCCAATACCTGCTGCAAAATCGGCCTTTCAAAAGCTAGTTAATTCTCAGGGACAATTCTTGGTGCCTGTGGTATTTGTCACCAATGCAGGGAACTGCCTTCGCCAGAAAAAAGCTGATCAGTTGTGTCTCATATACTGGGAGTTCCAGTGAGTAGCTTAAATCCTATTTCTTTAGTTATATACTTTCAGTGATTGTCAAATGTATTATATTCCATTAAATGCTGCTCAGTGAATTTTGCTTTTCCCTTAGGCCCTCTGAAATGCTTTGCTGTAAGTATTATAAAAGTAAAAAATACTCTCTGAAGCTAATGACAATGGTATTTCTGTTGGTAAAAGTAGTGATATTTCCAATAGCAATGGAATTTCTTTGCAAAATTATTACTGTGGGACTAAAACTTGCCTTCTCTTTCTGAATAAAATAAATGCGTGCCAGTAACATGAAATGCTGTTCTAGCAAGCTGAATGTCTTCAGTGATAATGTGAAGACTTGAGCCTCCTATCTGTCTTTGGTACAAGTGGTAAAAAATTATTCCCCTCCAGTCTTCGGGCTCTGCAGGCGCATTGTTGAGGACTATGTTTGAGCATTACTAAGATGAAGCCATAAAGTTAGTTCTGCGGTGCCTTTTCTTTTCAGTAAGGGTCTACATCAATAGAAAATCACACATGTTGTGGGTAAAATGTGATATCTGAATTATTTCTGGATTTTTTTTTTTTTTTTAGATCTGTAATAGTAGTAGATAGTAATTTGTAGTAGGAATTCTTCTAGGATAATCATTTTACTGTTTTCATAGCTATTAAAGGAATGGGATATGTAAACTAAGAGAAGAAGGTCTTCTAATACAACAAAATCAACGCTGCAGTCTAGCAAATCTACCGCAATTAGATCTAGAGCAGTGCTGGTTTCATCTTCCTTGTTTGTTTCTAAATTAATCTGGTAACTCTGTAAAACCAGGAGAGAAAAACTTGTGTTGATGTGGAATAGAAGAATTATGGAAGCAGAAAGGAATGTGTATGTCAATTAGCAATGTATGTTTGTTTGTTTGTTTGTTTTTTTGACAGGGAGATGTTATCAGTACTTCAACTGTGAAATTTAGTAAAAAAAAAAATAAAAAAATGATATGTTAGGGTTTTATACAAATATGTATGATTGTTTTGTAATTCATAGAATTTGTCACACCTGTTAATTAAATCTACATTTAGATCACTTACCTGAAAGCCAATAAATTCCTTTTGTTCTTAAATTTCAAACAGGTTTCCCAAGACCAAGTGATGATGTCACACAGTCCTCTGCGGATGTTCAAACGTTATCATGAAAAATGTGTTCTTGTATCTGGACAAGGACCGCTTCTGGATATTGCTCAAGAGTATCTTTAAAAAAAACAAATGGCAACTTTCTGCTTAAGTATTTTCCTTAATCGAGTTCGGAAAACCAAATAATTAAACACTACAAATTCAGTATTAAGAATTCATTGTTAAGCTATGGTAGTTCCTACTCTAATGTCAAATGTATGTTTTGAAAATGGTTGCCTTGTTGATTGTTGCTTTACTTTATTCTGCACTTTTCACCTCACTGTTACATGTCTTTTTACTGTGAAAAGAAGAAAGAATTATTTCTTTGGCATATATTTGTAAACGATCCTTTGGCACAAAGGGTTTGTACCCTCTTAGAATCATAGAATCATTTAGGCTGGAAAAGACCTCTAAGATCATCTGGTCCAACCTTTATCCTCTTGAGATGAGAGCATGGCACTCTACAGTATCATGTAGTAAATAATATAGTTAGACTTATTTTGGGAATGGTATTTCAGAGCCTGAGTTTGTTGCTCTACGTTTCTTTCATTTTCTGTTACCTTCTTCAGGCCAGCCTGCTTGGCTCATGTGCCAGTAGGTTATCCCCTGCTAGTGGAGGGGGATGTTATTATCTGTTATTTATCTCACCTTCCTTTCAACTCAGCAGCTTGAGATCTGCTTTGTAAAGGAGAGTATCACAGCATTAACAAATAACCTGCTAAACATGTGTTCTTAGCTTTACTAGCTGGGGTGTAGGTTCTACTTTTGTGATTTGTGTTTTTTTTTTTCCTTTTTGTAAACATCTTAGTCCAGGTAATATTGTTTTCATAGCCAATATCTAGAGTAATCCTATACTTGAAAATATTTTTGCAGCTTCTGTACTAACTGTCAAAAAGATCTTTAATTACATTGATATAATTGTGCCGTTGAATCTTCTGACTTAATGATCTTAGTAACTCCCTTCTGAACTTTTAAACCATAAGTTGTAAAAAATGTAGATGCAATTTCTAAGTATAAGTTTGCTTTCATGCTCAAAGATGAGAAAAATTACTGAAGGAACGTTCCAGTTACCTGCCAAAATTTGTTAGACATGTTAAGAGAAAAGTATGTTACAGGACTGAATTCAGCATATAAAAAGTGCACTTGTTGGATAGTATTCTTGTAGGGGATAACCTTATTTTCAAATAACTTTACAAGTAGTCTGTAGTGTTAATTCTGATACAAAATCAGGTGGCTTAGTTTGTATAATTGATATATATAAATAGCTCTTATTTGCATCTTCGTTGCAGAAGTCTTAGTAGTATTGCAAATAGCATCCCAACTGCTTTTTGCTGAAATGAGCAGTTTTAGTTTGATTATTTTCTTGCTATGTAAGTTAAAATTAATGAGATATATCTGCATTTAAGAGAACTACTATGCAAATCTGGAAATTTTCTCCATTTTTTTCTCCTTTCCTTTTTTTAGTGTATTTCTGAATTTATCTTTGCTACCTGTAGGGCATAATTAACCTTTATTGGTCAGTTCATTGTTCTGCAGTAGACTGAGTTTTACTATGTTTATCTGAAAATACATTTGCAGCTATAATGGCCAAAGGAAAGCACGGTTTGTGGGGACAATATTTTTTCCTCAGATCATATTTCTTTCCTATAAGGATTACATAACTTGTCTTGCCATCAGATGAACTTTTCTGTATTTATGTAAAGATAATCTTTGAATATTGCAGCTGTTGGGTGGCTTCTTCCTTCTAATCTCGTATTTTGAGCAAGCTCTCTACATAATTTCTGTCTTAAGATTTCAGGCATACAGATCTTCTGTATATAAAGAATGGAATGATCATCTTTTTATCTCATGCAAGAAAAGTCTTTAATATCTTGCTTTTATTCCGAATAATTTGCTTTACTAGATGATAAACTGCTTATGTTAAAACTGAATTACAGATTTTTTAAAAGTCTTTGAACGTAAGCAATTCTGTATCCTTAACTGGTGTTTTTCCAGCCTTGGTTTCAGTCAACCCATCACCATTGAAACATTGCGGGAGAAATACCCTTTGCTGGATGTAGTTGACCATGACAGAACACCTGATGTTTTGGTGAGTCCGTGTTTTGAAATTCTTTGTTTGATCATTACATGACATCCTACAGTAGAGGTCCGTATTTAAACTACAGAGCTAATGCAGTTGTTTTATGCTGCATTTTGACTTAGCTTTTTTTTTCTGTTTCCCTGTTTGTTTTATTGCAACATTTTTAACAGCTGTAGACTTTTTTTCTGTTCATGTTAACTTTATAACAAATCTTTACGTTTTGTAATTTACGGCTGTGAGACAACTTATAACTTGTTACAGATACCTAATCAAAAATCTGTTTTGGAAAGCTTACTGGTTTCTATGAATGTATGGAAGATGAAATTAGCTTTTTCTTCCAGTATGGGATGGTCTTTGCTGTTTTAGGCTCTGAGGTTGATCTGGTTGTAAAGAATGATTTGCAGATAACTAACTTTTCTCCAAAGGACTGCTTTTCTTGTTTATACCATATGTTAGTATATTTAAATATTAACAGTACATACTGTTAGTTTGCATTAGCAGCATGGTTTCAACTGAATTTTGCAGAATTTCAATATGAAGTGAATGTATGCATACACATCAAATGTATGCATATATTAAATATATGCAGGGTCAGTAAATGAAGATTTTTTTCAATGGATAGTCAAGAAATTCTTTATGGTTCATACAATTCTTAATTATATCAGTGTTTGCCTTGCTTCTCAACCATGCACATTTAGAGTTCAAGAAAATGGTTATGTGTTTTTCACAACGACAAGTAAATCATGAAACTACTGTTTGGCAAATAAATGTTGTATGATGTGTTAACAATATTTTCTCTTAGCAGTGTTAAAGAAATATGTTTCAAAATACATTTTTCAAATGTGTTGTTAATGACAGAGGCCTGTGTTATTCCTGCAGAAAAACAAACATCCATACTTTACGTAACACACAGGAGTGAAACAAGCAGCTGAAGCTTTGTATGTTCCCAGAGGTGGTTGAATAGATTGTAGAAGGCTTCCATATGTGGAATGCAATAACTTGTCTGCTGTCCATTTACCACGAGATTTCAGTTAGAACTTGAAATGCAAATTTGTAAGTAAACTGACATCAGGTACTGGAGCAGTAGCTGCACCAAAATAGAGTGTGTGTTTCCTGTCAGTGTTGTGGAAGGCAAGTGTGGGAGCTATACTTGAATTTATGCTGTTAAAAATAGTAGTAGCTGTTTAATCTTGTAGAAAACTTTCACTTTTTTCTTATTTCAGTACCCCTCTGCTGTGGAGCTTCCCAAGATTGAGGGTCAGTTATCTTTACTTAACTTGCAACTGTCCATTAATAGATGAAGTACCTTTATTGTACTTTTCAGTATAATTAGTATTGCTGGCCTCATTAGAAAGTTGGTTGAGACAATTCCAAAATTTCCTCATTAGTGACATTGGCCATTAATATGGAATGTATAAAGCATGAGAAAACTGTTTTATATGTGCAATTTTCAACCATGTATCTTTAAAGCTTCAGAAGGAAGGTGAGGTCTGCTTTCCTTTTCTATCTTTTTTTACCAGGCTATTGTTGCATTCCTTTTAAATATTAAGAATGAATTGAAGAGTTCAGAAATAACGGGTCTTGGTCTTGCAGTTGTCAGGAGGGTCACTTCAGAGTTGTAGTATAAGAAGCATCATGTTTCAGTAGGCCATATTCACAGCCCCATTTTGTCTGCAAAACAGGAAGGTAAGGTAAAAACTGGACTTCAGGATTTAAAAAAAACAAAACAGATTGTGATTGCTGGAGATCTGAAAGTTGTCTAGAATCAGTATCCCAAATTCGTTTTTAAGACGAATAAAATAACATTACTGATGGATTATTTTAATACAGTATGTAAACATACAGAATTCACAAAGGTACACAAAGATACATAAGACTTAGTGAAGCAAGATTGTGGAGCAACTTAGCCAATACAAAAAAACAAAACAAAAACAAAAAAATTTCTTAAACACATAGATTTTGCCTTGGGGTCTTGTTACTTCCAAGATTTTTCTATGAATGAATGGATATGTAATGCTAAAACATAAAATTAATGCGACAATTTAACCATGAACTGATGAAATAAAATTAATTGCTCAGCCTCTTTAGATCAAGTTGTGTCAGGGTTTTGATGCCCTGTTAACTGTGTTTTGTAATTCTTGTTCTTACAGCTGTTGTCTTGTTTGGGGAGCCAGTCAGGTGGGAAACCAACCTTCAATTGATCATAGATGTTTTGCTGACAAGTGGCTATCCTGGAAATCCGTATCACCATGAAAATTACCCTCATATACCTGTACTGGCTTGTAATATGGATCTGATGTGGGTAGCTGAAGCACAGTCTCCAAGGTAAGTGCAATTACAGTGTGTATATGCCATGTTGTTTCTTAGGTTTTTCCTCGCTTTTTCAGTAGAATCCATGATCAACGTTTTCATGTAAGTGTTTGATGTAGCTTCACAGTAGGTCTCAGCTTTGAATACAACATTTCAAAAGTAGTGTACTTTCAGCAAATGCTGCCTTTTTACTGCTTACAGTATCGCATCCAGGAAATTAGTTACTTGAGATAAAGCGCTTGTAACACCTAAACCTTTTTTGTTTCCTTACTTGCAAAATAGAGAAATTTTTGCTTGAGAGCCTTAGAGTTTGTCTAAAGGAAAAAAATTGGAAACAATACCCCCTTTTATTTTTCTTTTCATATCATTAGATCCTTTTTTTGGTATTCCTGTTTTCTACCCTGCAGTTTCTTGTAAAGTGAAGAAATTGCCCTGCTAATTGAAAGCAGTGGTTTTGGGCTGAAGACAACATAGTGAACTGTTTAGGCAACATAAGAAAAAGAAATAGTAAAAACTGAACATACACCAAAACAGATATTGTTGTTATTGTGACTTGATAATGGGCTTGCTCTTGGGTAGAAGATCTTGTCAGGTATTCTTACTTGGTTGCAAAGACCATCTCTAATTAGCACATTAGCAGACTACGTGTATGTAATAGTTTCAACTAGAGTAAGGTAATGAGTATATCTACAGAAAATAAGACGCATAGTTTCAGTTTTGTTCTTTGGGAAAGATCCAGTGTTAAAACTGAATCTTCCTTTTTCATTTGAGCTTGACAGTATGACAGATTTGTATGTCAGTGCTGTTACCTTCCCTATTGGAAAATGTGGCTTTAAGCTGTTGCTAATAAGTACTGGAAATAATTGCGTCCTGATTTATTCATGTTTCTTAACAAACAGGGTAGAGAGAGGAAATGAACAGTTAATTTGGCAAAACTAATTCTTTACCATACTTAAGTCCTACAGCTGTTTCCAACTTTTTAGCTTTTTTCTTAAAGATTATTTTAATTTCTAGGCCACTAGAGACTGAATTTATTAGCACAATGTTTCAGATGGCTTCTGGTGCTCATTAGATCAGTGTTACACTTTTTTTTTAGGCTGTAGATACTTGGTTTGAACAGCTATACTCAGCTATGTGCCTAACACAGATGAGTACCTAACACTTCTTCTAAAGTACTCTGTATACTCCAGAAAATAGGATTGCTGTATAGCAACTTTTTATTCTTCTTAGTGTTTTTGATGCTTCCTTGTTTCTCGAGTGATATGTATTGATCCATCCCTAATCCCATATCCTGATTTCAGTAATGAAGTAAAACTGCTTTTTTAAAGCATGAAATTACATCTTTTAAATTAATTGGCTTGGCTTGGTTTGGCTTGATTGATGAGCCATTGTCACTGTTACCAGCTTGCTTGAGTAAAATAATTGAGTTTTCAAAAGCTTGTTGTAAAATTATAATTTGTTCCATGATTCTCCGTTGCTTCTATTCTTGAGAGAAACCCATGAAGTTTTTAGATTACAGAGTGGATTTTAGTATACTCCTGTGGTTAAAGAGGTTAATTTTCCTTCTGTTCATTTCCAACTTTCCTTTTCATCTTCTCTTTAGTAATTCAGCTGATTCTGTTTGGTCACTGCAAAGAGCAGCTCACAGGCTAGGTATTATTTCAAAAATTACCTTTTGTAACTGAAGCACCTGCTTAAATACAAACAACAGTATTGCAAATCATTGCTGCATTTTTAAAACTGGTAAGTCTGTGCTGTCCCAATTACTTTTTTTGTTAAGGTCTTCATTGTTCAGCTAATCAGCACCTAGTTATTACTGAAACAGCTGTGGAAATGTTGCATGCAAATTGAGGGAAAATTCATGGTAACAGGATATGATTTATTCCTTAAAAAAAAAAAAAAGAATCTAATTTTTTGCTGTATACTTTATAAATATACTTTATAAAATTTGATTTGTCACAAGGCCTTTTTATCTTTTAGGTTTGGGCATGGAACATTCATGGTTTGTTTGGAAAACATTTACAAGAAGATCACTGGCAAAGATCTGAAATATGAGGCCTTAATGGGCAAGCCTAGTGAACTGACCTATCAGTACGCAGAATACCTTATCAGGACTCAAGCAGCAGAAAGACAATGGAAGCAACCTATTCAAACTCTTTATGCTGTTGGGTAAGATGTTACAAGTCTTATGAGGTATTTACTTATGAGATAATACCAGCAAACTAAAATACCCAGCTCTTACTTGGTTAGTTGGGATCATTATGCCACCACTGGGACTTCCTAACATTCTTGGCACTATGTTGTACTTTTTTATGATTTCAAACCTCATTGTTTCTAATCTTGAAACTTAATACTTAGCTCTTTCTATGTGTAATTTCTGTAGAAGTGCAAAAATTGGTTTATATGTCCATTTCTTAAAATTTCTCTTACATGCTCTGTAAGTCTTTAACAAAAAGGCAGTGGGAGGACTGTTTTGTTAGTTACTGGTATAACCCTAACAAGCTTTGAGTAGAAAATAGAATTTTAAGGAATATAGAGCTAGAATTGATTTGTGGTGTCATTAAGCTTGGTCATGCACTACTGTGCATGTAGTGGCATCATAGAATCCTTTCCATAGAATGAGATAAAGCTCTGTTATATTAGGGACTGTTCCAGAATCTCCAAGATGTTTGGAAATATAGTAAGTTCATTCATGGACTGTTGAAATTTATTCTTGATTTCCTTTCCTGCTTACCCACGTCTGCAATTTTCATTATGGAGAATTACTCCTATTAAATGTCAGAGTTGATACAATGGCATAATAAAATAGCTATATGTTTGGATTTCTTCCTGTCTACATCCACATGAAGTTACGTAAAGCACAAATTAAACTGTTAAATCAAACCCTTAAAAATGTCTTCTCTTATGAATTGAAATCAGAGAACTAAAATTGTGTTGCTGACTAAACTTCTTACATTTCCAGAGATAATCTCATGACTGATGTCTATGGTGCTAACCTTTACAATCGCTATCTTGAAGAGAAGAACTCCAGAAAAGGTTCAAAAACACAGATTCAGGCAAAAGTTGCTGGAGGCAGAGGGTCTGCTGCTCTCTCTCAGGATGATGAAATAGACAACAGTTGGGAGAATGAATTGGCATCTGCTGCTGCTACCCACTGTAGGTCTGTTCTCGTTTGTACTGGGGTTTATAATCCTCACACAGAGGCACCCTTGGATACCAAGGAGAGCATAACTGAAACAGTGTTCCATGGCCACAGAGATTTTAGGTTTGATCCCGGTTTAGTAGAACCAGATCATATTGTACCAGATGTTAATGCTGCTGTAGACCTGATCTTCCATCTGGAGAACTTTGCTCCTAATTGATACGACAAGATTTCTTAAGGTCTACTCAGTGCTATGCTCCTGCCCACCTCCCAAATCCAACAGCGTGCTTTAAAATCATGCCACAAACTTTCTAAAGCAAGCTTTATTTTTATTTTTTTTTTTTTACTTTTTCATTTATATAAACTTCTATAAATTTATATACATATAAGTATATATGAGCACAGGTTAATGTGCTAAATATACCTAATATAAAATTATATACGTTAAAAATCTGTGCTTAATATACTTAATATAAAATTACTTAAGTATAAATCATACTTTTAAAGTATTGAAAATATGTAATTTCTTGCTTTTGTTTCCCTTTATTTTCATCCTATTTGTGTTTTTTTTTTGTTTGTTTGTTTTAAGCTATTTTAGCTATTTTATCATAATAGCTTGTGTGTGTTACTGGTACTTAAATTGCCATGTGACAGTTCATTTTTTTGTTTGCTGAAAGATTTAGCTTCTAATTTTTGGGGGTCTTTGTGATGCTGGGGTTGTTCACACAATTAGAAATTGGTTGGTAATGAGCACAGTAATGCAGACTTCTCAGTATTCTGCAAGTACTGTGCACTTTTTCAAATATGTTGCTTCAAATAAATGCTAAATTCAAGTATGTTCTGCCTCTTTGTACTCACATGTAACCCCACAGTCTTTCTTCTTATCTGTTTTTGCAGTATGTCTGTGGCTGCATTGCCTCTCTACTTTGACATGTAAATCTGTAAAAGAAATGCCCATATAAGCTGATGAAGGCTGAGTTGTTAAACACCATTTTTAGAACTCCTGCAAAGCTGAACAGAAGAAAGGCAGCTAACAATGGCTGTTCTGCATGGCGTAATAGCTGGCCTTTTTGTTGTTACCTTTTTATTTGCACTTCTATGGGAATTTAGAATTTAGAAATTTAGAAATTTTCAGGCATTTCTCTCAGCTGGACTTCTCCACTGAATGTGTGACTGTTATTTGGGCAAAAAGTGCCTAGTAATTTACTTGAAGCTTCATACCACTGTGGTAGTTAACTGGCCTTTAGATTAATATATTTTCTTTGTGTCAATGTCATGTGTTTGGTTCACGGATTTTATATCTGTTCATTAAAATAAGTAATTTATTTTACCTTATTTTTGTAAAATACTTTTAAACATTTTAATCCAAAAGATATCTTTGAAAATAGTTCTATTGGTTGTAACAGTGTATTTGTGAGATAAGTTATGTCTGTCCTTTATTGATTGGCAAACATAAATCAATTAAGTGTATTTAAAAACAAAGTCAACTTACACAGAAATCTGTGAAATCTGTGGGTCTTCCATTTTAGACAGGTGGTGGCATGAAGAGAAATGACTTCCTGGCCAACTTCTTCACTGTTTATTATTGTGAATTCAAAATCTGAAAGCTCTTCATGTCATGAAAAGATCAAAATTGTTACAATGCAGTCAGGTTTATCTTGTGTTTTTTCCATGTGCAAATCACTCTAGTCCCTCTCTCAACAATCAAGATTGTTGATTCATGTACTGGTAATATTTCATAAGTAACTTTCAACATACCTTGCATGATCCAGGCTTCTAAGTTTAAGGAAAGTGTTCCAAACTGTATCTCCCTTTTTCTTCACTAGGGAAATACTATAGCTGCATATTCTTGCCTTTCTTATTGTTTCAGCAAGTGAATATTTATCTACTTCTTAAAGCACATTTCTGTAATATGCCAACTATTTGCAAAGTATGCCAAATTCTTCTAAGTAAAGAGTGTAGTTATGGTTTTGTAAGATGACAAGATAACTGAAGATGTGTTGTTTCAATACTGAAGCATGTTGCAGAGCTCTTTATTATTGGAAACAGTTTTAGACCATCAGTAAAGCAAGAAATAAAAATGTGGAAGTTGATGAAGAGCGTGTTGTTCCATCTTATTCTTTTTCCCCCAAAATATGCCATGAACATTTCAAAAGGTTCATGAAAGAAATCACAGAATCACAGAATTTCTAGGTTTGGAAGAGACCTCAAGATCATCGAGTCCAACCTCTAACCTAACACTAACAGTCCCCACTAACCATATCCCTAAGCTCTACATCTAAACGTCTTTGAAGACTTCCAGGGATGGTGAAGAAACTGTGTATATACTTTTAAACTTCATTCCTCATGAAACAAAGTAACTTAAAATGCTTATGTTTGGCTACTAATCAGGCTACTGTTTTTTCACTACACTAAAAGGAGGATGGTTTCAGTCTGTAGTCCTCTTAGATCATTTGCAATGATAAGTCTGCTTGAGTTATCTTTAATGTGATCTTCAGATGAATGTATGACTGAGTCCCGTAGTGTTCTAGGGTGCTACTAGATTTGGAGCTGTACCAGCGCAAAACAAAAAAAAAAAAAAGGTAGTTGTTACCATGCATGGTGAACAAAGATGACATATATATTGGAACTACTACAAAACTTTGAGAGAAACGTTAGCGTAGTAGGCACAGGTCATGGTACACTAGTGAGTTGGGCAGATGTTCTTGGTGAAATATGAAAAACAAATTTTAAAGATTTGAAGGGATATAGTGAGTTTACCTTTGAGAATGTTTATTCTGGGCTCTTGCTGAATGCAAAAGACCTCACAGCACCCACTTGCTAAATGCTCCTACAACTTCATTATGGTGTGCTGAACTAAATGCACTGGAATTAAATTGTATTCTCTAATTATTCAGCAACCACAACTGACAGAGCTAGCAATGGAGCCTGAAAGCAAACTGTTTTCCTCATTGCCATGTTCCAGTGTTAATGCATACTGAACACTTTCACTCTGCAGAATTTGAAATACTACTGATGTTAGTGGTATGGCATCTCTTTGCCAGAGTTCTCACACTTTGCAAGGTGAGTAGAAAAGCATGTGTTCCTCCCTCAATGAGTCCCAGTCTATTTGCACTTTAATTTAAAATTCTAGAGAAATGTTTGTGCCAAAATGCTCCGTACCAGTCTACTTTCCTGAATTCCGCAAAAGACTTGTCATCTTTACCTTTTTTTTAGAGTATGACTGCTGAAAAAGCAGGCATTATTGTTCATTATACTGTTTTGTGTCTTACAAACGAAGATACTACACGACACTTCTTACTTGAATTTTGCCTCCTGTTCACTCAGGAAGTGGTACAGATGAGAACTGCAAAAAAAGAAGTGTCAAAACATTGCAGTAGAGTTACTATTGCAATAGCTAACATTACCTTGATGTGGATGATGTGGTCGCAAAGCAGTTTACTGTACTAATGGGGGAGTCCTGGGCAGGCACAGAAACAGGACTTTCAGGGAAAAAAAATGGTATGAATTGGGATGCTTCTGTGGACTGAATTCCTGTGAGCTGCAGAAGTGGATGAGATGCTTTCCTGGAGTACTTCTGCCTTCGTCCTGTGAGAGGATGCATGTGGCATGCTTTCTAAAAGCTAAAAAAATGCAATGGTCCCAGGCTTATCTGCCATAAATATGAACAGATACTAATTGGTAATTACCTTGTTTTTCACATAAACAAAGTGGTGCATGCTCCTCAACATTCCAGGTTGGATATCAGGAAAAGGATTCTTCACTGAGAGGGTGGTTGCTCACTGGAATGGGCTCCCCAACGATGTAGTTACAGCACCAAGCCTTTCAGCGTTTCACAAGTGTTGTACTTATGTTCATTAGCAATATGGTCTGAATTTTGGGGGTAGTCCTGCGTGGAGTCAGGAGCTGGGACCTTGTGGGTCCCTTCCAACTTGGGATATTCTCTGATTCTATGAAAAGCTGCGTGAATACAGCTCACAAGTATTTCTCAAAGGAATTTTTTTCTCAAATGGACCCAGTGCAGCCCATATCTAGCTGCGAGCAGCTCCTGCTGAGGGACTTGTTTTGCCCTTGGAAAAATCCCTGCCACTTGCAGACACAACTGCCTTTGTAACTGTAGTCGGGTTTTTGTTTTTCACCAAAACTGAAGAATATTGAACCCCAAAGTATGGGAAGTTCATTAAGAAGTGAATTTATTTGTGGAACGAGGGGATACCTCCTGAGAAGCAGAATCTGCGCCAGTTTTTGTACCACATTCTCCAGGGGCACGAAACCCCGGTCAGGTTTGCTCTGAGGGCGGCCGGCGGGAGGCGCTGTCCGCCATCTTGGCTTTACCTCAGCCCAGGCACCGCGCCGCGCAGGCAAAGCAGGGCAAGTCAGAGCATTGCGACCCTCTTCTGTCTCCGTGGATTTATTTATTTATTTATTTATTTATCAATATATGCTTTATAAGTAGTAAAATGAGAAACCATTGCCCCCACACAGTTCTCCAAGGCCTGGTATATTTCAGTTCTCCATCCTCGTGGACAGAACTCCAGCTCGGTAAGGGTTAATATAAGCTGGGCAGACCTTGAAAAAGACAAAATGCTTAAAAATAGTAAGAGACAGTGTTCACTTAAAATTCTAGCATCTTCTAATTCCCTTCCTCTTTTGATTCCAAACAAGTACTAGGCATTTGATCCCTCCTTAGTAAGTTTTCCTGTCAGGAACCAAGAAATTTTGCCCAAGGAATTTGAGAGATGAGCTCAGAGTTTGGTGCTCTTAAAACCTCTCCCAGCTGCTGACAAAGACACATCTTGCTATAGATAATTTCAAATGAATCAGAAGTGTTCAGTTTTGGCATGAGCTATGATTTTAGCTATGTTTAGGGTTTGTGTGTTTTTCAAAATTGTTTGGACTTTGTTCAACAAGAAAATAAGCAGCTGGGGCATGGAAGTGACAGTGTTGTCTTTTCATATAAAATGTGGGAAGGTCATGCAGTTGAAAGGCTCTGGAACATTTGGTTTTTGTTTCATCAGTGGATGGATTTGCAGAGAGGCTGGTATCATACCACAGCCCTGTTTTCTTTGCACTGTATTTTCAGAACTTCAATTTGTCGTCTCTCTGGCCAAAAATATTTTGAGGTGACGCATAGAAAAACTAACAGAATGATTCACAGAAACATGTTGCTAAACTTGGATTTTGCCAATGTAAGTATTTGTTCCCTACAGCTACAACTGAATCTCAACTGGGTAAATTAATTGTTAGAAGCAATTATTTTCAGAGTGCAGTTTATCAAGTTCCAAGCACAGTATCAGCACGTAGGATACGGAGACAACACAGTGCAGCTTCATACTATCTGAATAGGGTTTTGTACCCTGATGTGCAAATACATTGAAATTGATGCACATAAATATTGTTTTAAATTATCCTAATTGCACAGACAGCTGAAGGTATGTGAACTTGCCCAGACCTTTGGTTCTGTAGTTGACTGAGTCTGTGTTCAGATCTTTTGTATATACAAGGTTGGATTTTTGGTGATGAAATATATCCTGTGTTCAACATTGAAATAGCCTGCATGTTGAAAGTTTCAAAGAGTATTTCTGTGGTCGATTTTGTGAATAAAACAGTCAGTAGGTATTTCCAAATATCTCTGGTGGTACACACACAGTAAACCCAAAAATCTGAAAATCAGCTGAGCCAGAATCTTTTACTGATCTTAATTAAAAGTTATCCCTCCTCTTTGATCTTGAATGTCAGGCTCTGAATCCTTGATTGTGCTAACCATGTAGAGTTAAGCACCCACATGGGTTACTAGAGATTAACCTCTTGTAGCAGAAGCAGTACCTGTTGAATAGGTAAGAATATTTCTCAGAGTAAGAAATGGATTTTCAACAGGACTTGAGGCTCATTGTTTTTTATGGAAATATATCTATGGATGTGTTTTTGCTAGTTTAACAGCTGAGATCCTGACCGTAGATGGGCAGTTTTAATCACATTGTTTATATTTGACTGTAAACACTGAAAAAAGTTATTTGCACCCCTAGTTATACCTCTAGTCTTCCATTTGCACATGGAAGACTTTGAATCAATTCTATGTGCATTCATTTCTGTAAGGGATGAGCAGTTGTAGGTATTAGAGGAAGAATTAAGTACTGCTTGTTTAATGGAGTACGTTGAACTACCTTGTGTTAAATTAGAAGACCATCACAGCACTATAGAATAGGATAGAGAATTTCTTAAAATCTTGATTTTTGTCTCTGATAAACTAAAGCAAGGTACATGTATAAATAACAAAGATACTAATTGCCAGATGTTTACTTTAATTAAACCTTTTAATGATACACAGTACAATGTATCCACTACACTACAATTCACAACAAAAAGCAGGTTTCATATCTGTTTAAAAATATTTTTCATAATGAATTCATAAATAGATGGAAGTAAAGTATAAAAAAAAAAATACTGTAGTATGCAAGCTTGCTCCCTTGTCTCCTCATATTCCAAATGATCTAGTCAATATTGTGGTAAGCAAAGTAGTTACTGATGATTAGAAATGTATAGCCTGCATCTCTTGAAGAAACCTTGAAAAACAGCAACAAATTTGTCCTAGAAAATGCAGAATAATTGTAACACTGTTATCCTCTCAACCCCTCAAATCATTTTGAATGCATTGAATGAATTCAATATGAATTAGAGATTTGTATTTTCTCCCCCAACAGGTGTGTGAGCCAGACTCACTTGAATGCTATCTAGTCTCTAGAGTCGTGCATCCTCTGGAGACTGGGTTTTATATAATTATTATCAGATACCAGTGAGTGAGGCACAAAAGAGGGAAAAGTTTGTTGACAACACTGAGTGTATCTGACTATCAAAAATCTTAGCATTTCTCCACACAGACAAAATAAGACAAATCTTTAAACAGTTACAAATAAGTAAATTCACCTTCTGCTCAGGATATTATGCCTGGGAAACGGAACGGTGTCTGATCTCATGCACTGGCTTCCCAGGTCCGAAGCGGTAAGTTTATGTAGCACCATTCAAACACAACTCCACGTGGTGAGTACATTACACCACCAAGCTGTATTAGTAAATTTACTCTCCTCATCAATATGTCACT